TATATATATATATATATATATATATATATATATATATATATATATATATATATATATATATATATATATATATATATATATATATATATAATTTTTAAGAACCATGAATAGAGATTTAGTAAAGAACCATGAGGATGTTAAGAGTCATAGGTATTTGGCTATGAACATTAGAGAATGTGAAAAAAAAAACAGACTTCAAAGATCTGGTTGAACTGAAAAAACCCACTGATGCATAAAACTCATAACACAGTAAAAATGTGAAAGTTTAACAGACAGTGGCCATTAACTGTTCACCGCTTTACAGTGTTTTCTCTATTCCAGCAGAGAAACCACTAACTGCGTCTCCTGCCGTTTGTGAACTAGTTAGGTCCATCTTCAGGCCATGGAAATGTTGGATAAATACACACAAATGTATATGACGACTTCAGAGAGGCACTCAAAGTACACAGCTTTCAGCTTTGTGGTTTGTCGGTTGGAAGGACTGAAAAGAGAAGCTGTTTTTTTGTCCCCGTCATGAAGTGAAGACTGTTTATTGTAGCAGGTCAGACAAACAGTGTGAATCAAAGCACACTGGCTATTGAAAGTCAATGACACACAGCGGGACCGTCTCAGACGCCCATACAAACTGTTCATACTGGCATACCTTCAGAGCTTTCAGAGCTTTCAGAGCTTGTGAATGTTATTTTTTGTGACCTCATTACCTATATTAGTATATTGTAACACTAATATTATAACCATGTGACATGACATCGTGACTTTCTCTTAGCCTCCTCTTCGATGATTGCAACTATCAAGTTTGTGATTAAATTTAACTTGTGCTTGTCATCTGGCTGAATACAATCAAACTACAATCAATCATAGCTTTGGTATAAAGTATTTACAGTGGCTTGCAAAAGTATCCACCGCCCCTCCTGGAATTTATCAGACTTGTCTGAATAGCAAATGATAAATCCACATATTCTTCCTGTCAGTATTTTATTGCAAACTTATGTCAAGTCAAAATTAATTATTGGTCAGGAAATATTTCAAAGAAAATCAAAAACTGAATCAAAAGCTTGCATAAATATTCATCCTCCCCCCAGGTTCTGGAAACCTCAGATGAAAGATATTGTCTTAATGAGGACACAACTGACTTATAAATGCAGTGTAAAATTATATCTAAGAGGTTGGGCATCCCAGTAAGTGCTGATGGATCAATGGTAAGGAAGTAGAAGCTGCATCACACCACCCAAGCACTACCTAGACAAGGCCGTCCCTCAAAACCCAGCACAAAAACAAGACAGAGACTGGTGAAGGAAAGCCACAGTGAGGCCAACAGTCACTCTGAAGGAGTGTTACAGAGTACAGTGGCCGAGAGCGGAGTTAAGGTGCACCAGACCACCAATTCAAGAGCTCTGCATAATCGAGGACTGTATGGGAGGGTATTTGTGTATTGCAGCTGAAACTCAAATTATATTTTTGAATGGTTTATATTATGTATACACTATATAGCCAAAGGTTTGCAGACACCTGACCATCACACCCATATGTGGTTCTTCCCCAAACTGGTGCCACAAATTTGGGAGCTCACAATTGTATAGAATGTCTTTGTAGGCTATAACATTACAACTTCCCTTCACTGGAACTAATGGGCACAAACCTGTTCCAGCATGACAATACCCCTGTGCACATTGTCATTATCACATGAAGACATGTTTTGCCAAGGTTGGAGTGGAAGAACTCGAGTGGCCTGTACAGAGCCATGACCTCGACCCCACTGAACACCTTTGGGATAAACTGGAACGGTGACTGCCCCCCAGGCCTCCTCACCCAACATCAGTACCTGTCCTCACTAATGCTCTTGTGGCTCAATGGGCAAATCCCCACAGCCATGTTCCATAATGTAGTGGAAAGTCTTCCCAGAGGAGTGGAGGATAACAACAAATTGGGACTAAATCTGGAATGGGATGTTCAACAAGCACATGCTGTAAGTGTATGTGCTCATTCTAGTACCTTATCATTTCTAAATAGACAGATAGATCTCTTCATAAATCCCAGAGGGAAATTCAAAGATTACAGCAAAGTATGTGTATAGGCAACAAAGTGGGTATAGGCTTATGTACTTATATAATATAGTAACAATTCATTTACAGGGACTTGTATGGCGCAGAAAACCCCAGCCTACCATTTCCAGGAGTATGAATTGGCTCTCTGGACTCCCCCCAGGCTCGAAAACAGCTTTAACTTTTCACCAAACATACCAAACCCTCGGCAAAAGAGGCAAGTGTGAAAATGACCCTTGGATAATAATTAACAGATTTTAAAAAACTGCTGTTATTTACCAAAGGAAATCATATAATTGTTGATATGGTGAAATTTTCTGTAAGGAGATTAGGTGTAAGGGGTTGATGGAAGGAGTCTCTAGCGTGAGCGCTTTGTAACAGCTTTTGCATAACAGGAAAGTCTTCAGTAAAGAGGAGTTCGCAGTTTGTGAACATTATGAACAACTTCAATAAATCATTGTAAATGATGATAGTGATATTTAATATTAAATTACATTTATTCATCCGATAGATGATTTTATCCAAAGTGAGGCCAAATCCTCAAGAACAAGAACAGTCTAGTTTCCCAAAACCATAAAAAATGAAGATTTATCTGGGAGAGAGAGAGAGTTCAGTGTGATGCTCGCACTACCACTTAACTTTGAAGAAAAGGAACCTTAAACGCCAAGTTCCCATTTTCCTCGATATATTTTTTCCTAGCAGAACAAAGCACTCCACTGCACAGCACTCGTGCATCTTTCTCAATCTATTCATTTTTGCCTGTTGGTGTCTTTCCACAAGCTCATTTAAAGCCTTACATAAAAGTAAAGCTTTTACGATACAACCCTCCCATCTAGCTGCATTCACTTCTCGTTTGTTCAGTTTGATCATAACATCAGTCGTCCTCTCACTTCCATGGCATTATCGCTCTTTGTATTTATTATGATAACAGCAATTACGATAAATCACGCGAGTGTAGCAGGAAAGTCTGTAAACAAGAGTGCTTCCCCGCTCTGGATTTGATTCTCCGCAGAGACAGAAATGCCTTTTAATGGCCTCGCTTGTTGTTAATGATATGCCGGTGCGTCTTCAACACACCATTGCGCAGATATTGAAGCCATTCGTTTCGGAAATAGGGTGCAGGCATGGAGATTACTTTATCCAAACGGTGCTCTCATCTGACGGGTCTTTTTCTCTCCTAATGCATCGGCCCATAACGCTGCATTGTGTCATAGCAGTTTGTTTTGATGGCTTTTTTTTTTTTATGAGTGCACTTGTGTTTATTCAAGTCTGATTTCATTAAATAGTCAGGGACTTTATTTCCCTGTTCTCTGCCAGCTGCTATGGATCTCAGAAGTCGTGACATGCTAACCAGATATACTGCAGAATTAGTTTCTGAAAACTGAAGTATTGTCTGCTTTTTAAAAAAATAAATCTGGCAGGTGCAGCAGTATTAGCCCATTTAATATTATAACAGATGGCTGCTTCCTGTTTACTTCCTGGTTCCTTGACCTTATTAAATTGTAGTTCTCTGTGTATACATTCATATGAATTCAAATGAACAAAGGCAAAATGGGTGGATTTCATGTGATTTCATATGATTGAAAGATTTCATATGATTGTAAGAAAGGGTACAAACACTAACCCCGCCCCTAACCCTAACCTTTCTAACCTCTCATAAGTATTACATTATTGATTTCTAATACAATTCTGAGCCATTACTTAGTACTTAGTTTCCAGATTCCTTGTACTCTCTGCCATTGCTTCCAGTTCTATTCTATATTTTCTCTATTTGTTTTTTGAAAATCCAAATAAACAAATGCAGATCAGCCACACCCCCAAAACACATGCACGCCCCCTGTTTGAAAGCTAAATGTTTACGAATGTGTAACAGATGAGTGCTTGAACAGCGTATCAATTCAATCATGGGCACGTTTTCCTTACAGGAAAGTGCATCGAATTAACATTATTTTATTAGCCTATACTACACACATTTGTGATTTCATGAAATTGATTAGTGTCTATCGGCTGCATTAAATTATGTGTACATTTAACTGTCGGTGCATGATATAAAATACAAAAAAAGCATTTTCATCTAGTCACTTCTGCTACAACTCTCAATAGCAGAATCAGCAGATTTCTAGTTGGCTACATCTAATTCATTGTGCAAAAAATAATAGGATTTGCTGTATTTTCAGGAATCAATATTAGACTTCTACTGTAAATGTTTACTTCATTCTTGTCATCTTTTCATTTGTATTTGAGTGCAGTTCTTTTTGAGTTCTGTCTCCTCCTTTCATGCTACGTAGTATTTAGGTTTCCACATTTTCTATCCCATTATTTTTCAAGCTTAAAGTCAAGTGCTTGTGTTCAACGCTGATGTCTAGATGCTGATCTCAGGCGACTCTATTCAAGAAAAATCTGTCAACCTCAGAGGTGTAAACTGGATACAATTTAAATAATATGAATGCAGAGCCCAAAGCGTGTGCCTGCGTAACCCAACTCTGAATACGAGTAACTTTCCCAGTGTAGGGTGAGAGGTGGAGCTTTCTAAATTGACAGGCAACATGATTGACAGGCAAATAAACAAAGCTCCTTTTCCTGA